TAATAACAATTAGATCAACAACAAAGTTAAGTTTACCCGAGTTTGCCCTGACAAGGGAGATGTGCTGTTCCTGATGGGGCCAGCACACGCTCTCTGCCCCCTGCTCCAGCCCTCCTCCCAGATCAGGCTGAGGGGAAAAGGCCTGGGATCAGTAATTCCCACCCTACCCACTCTCCCTGGGTGATCCAGAGAATCACTGCTAACCTGAAACAAAGGAGAGCAGGCAGGTCTCCAATAGACACAAGCACCACACCCCAGAATAATTACAAGCACTTGCTCCATCACAGCAGCAGGATACTCCTAACTGGCATATGAAGGTGATGAGGGTTTAGAGTTTGGAAACACAGACAGTAAGCAGAGGCCTGATAAAATGAGAGAAACACTATTCTTCATTAGATAACTTTAAAAAATTAATTATTTGAAGAATTGTTTTGTGATTTCAATGAGAGATTTAAGAACAAAGTTTCCCACCTACCAAGGGATGCTTTTATTCTATTAGCAAACTCTGAAAACCTAATTTAAAAAATCAAAGCTACTAAAAATTGGGAAAAAATACAATACTCCTGCATTTCATTTATTATTGGTGATGAAAGTGTATGCTATTCTCTCTCATTCTTCAGTTCTTACAGGGCTGTAAACTCATCAGAAAACGGATAAATCAATGTCAAAAAAGATAGCAAGAACACATTGAAATAAGGCCTTTCCTCCAGTATTGCTGTTGAGATAGCTATTTACAACTCGCCATCTCTTTTCTTTGCTATTAACTTTCAGATGAAGACATTATAATAGTGATATGAGTGATACCAATAAAGCTGCTACCGCTCAGTGTGCAAGCACAGAAAAATGTTAGGTTGTGAGCTGGAGACTCATGCAAAGTACTTTTTTTTTTTTAGGTATAAGCTAAGCTTACCTAGAGAAAAGAGAAGATAAAGAAATTCTCAAGAACAATATCTACATGCTCAGAACATCAAACACAACTACCCAGTATTTTATGATGCTTAAAGTAATTTGTAAGAATTCTCTGGACCCCCATCTGCATCTTCCCCAGGCAGCAAGATGTGTTGGCTTAAGCAAGCCTCCAGCAGCAAGAATGACCAGTTCTCCTCCCCAGCCCCAGACAGCTGGCATCATCAGCCTGCCCGATGGCATACGGGTGACAGAAGTGCTATGAACATGCACTTCCACTACAGAGGCAGAGAGAATTTCCAGGCACTTGATTTGCATACATCATACTTCTGTCGGGGAGTAAAACCCAGCAGTTCAAACTAGACTACCTCCTTTCTCCAGAGGCTTTATAGAGATTTCACCATACTGGTACGGCTTCAGGGTAACAGATAACCAGTGGCACCATGCCACCCAGATTTTTGATCCCCATAATTTTCCAAGAGTCATGGAAATGAAAGCTACAGAAATCAACTGGTAGCAAGACAGCAGTGAAACCTAATGTTCAAAGATCAAAAAAAAATTTACTATATCCTGTCAATCTACACAATCTGAAAAAAAAAAAATCTTTTCCCAATATGAGTTATTCAAACTTAAACATGAAACACAAAAGCTATCACAAAGACTTCAAAATATTTCAATGTGCTTCTGAAGCTAAGAAAACATCAACTCAGTAGTCTAACAAGCAGAAGTTGTCAAGGAAAGCTTCCCTAGTGCTGTCATTCTACTTTTTCCTTCACTGATCAAGGAGTATAGCATACTCTCAATCCGTGCAGATGAACAAGGTAAGAGCCACTTTAATAACCAAGTGGGGATCTTCATATGCAGGGCTATTACAAAGGATCCATGCAGATGAAGAAGGTAAGAGCCACTTTAATAACCAAGTAGGGATCTTCATATGCAGGGCTATTACAAAGTGAAAGGCAAAACAGACTAACTCACAATGCTCGATCAAGAAGGAGCACTTGACAAGCTTCACATTTGAGAAGGCATCCAAGGATCGCATGTCAGCTGTCATGAAATTAAAGGCAAGATTCTTTTTTTCCAATTTAAAACTATTAACATCTTAATTTAATTACATTTAAAATTAATACACTTCCACCAGAAATGTAACTCAATTAAAACAAAAACTGATCAATCTCCTAACAATAGGGTAAAAAACCAGTCCTGCAACAGTCAGGGCATTTTAAAGAGTGCTTAGTGTCAATGCTTTTTAAATCCAAATTAGTGATTTCTGACTATCATGAATCTTGATGGGTTTTCTACTATTTTGAAATTTCAAAACCATATTGGATTTATAGTAGCATTTTCAATAGAACAAAAGCATTTTATTCGTATAACTCTTCAGAACAGTACTGATGTTTCCTCCATGTCACTGAAGCACAAGAACAGCTCAAAAACTGGGTAACGTTTACATGAACCCACCAGTACTGTCACTGATCACTTGTATAAACAGAGCACTTACTTCCTTAGTTATGATCAAAACTGGACACAAGAGGTATTTGTTCGCAAAGGAAAGAACAGCATAATACTGTGTTCATGTCATAGGAGATATTTCAAGAGATATTTGCACATTTTTCATGTATACCAATTGGCATTTTAGGAACTTTTTTTTTTTTGCTTTATTCCCCTGAAACGGGGAATAAAAGAGCTTGAAGATTCTCATACAAGTTTTTGTACTTCAAACACTGTAGTTCTTTGTAAGTAACAAAGACCATAATCACCTTGGCTAGGGGCCAAACCACACACCCAATCCCCGCCCCCAACCCGAGGATAGGGGAGAAAATTAAACGGGTAAAGGGAAAAAAGGACTTGTGGGTTGAGAGAAGAACAATTTAACAGTGACACTGCCCCCCACCTGATGACCAAGGCTCAGCCTGTTCCCGGCTAACAATCCCGGAGCAGGGAGAGTTCCAAAACTGCACTCACGGAACGGAGAGAACAGTCCGAGCGTCCCAGACCCAGAGCTGACCGGGGTCGGGGAGGGAGGCCTTGGGAGAGCGATCACCTGGAGCGAGATGACCCGGAGCAAAAGAGATCAGGAACCAAAAGGGCCGATCTTCCGGAGGGTCCTCACCTCTATACTGGGCATGACGGGTATGTTATGGGATAGATTATGGGCCACTCTGGGTCTCAATCCCTAACCTAAGATCAAATCCTGGGCTAGGAACCTTGGCAGCCACGTAAACATCACTTTTTATCAGCTTTCTTCTGAGCACAAATCCCAAACACAGCCTCTTGCCAGCTATTATGAAGAAAGTTAACTCTGTCTTAGCTGAACCCAGGACACCAACTAACAATTTTCATTGTTCAATCCAAGTGGCATGCAAAGAGTGAAACAACCCACAGTCAAAAGCATTCAATTAAATTCTTTTTAATGATCTGCAAGCATTATCAGAAGACACAAAGAACATTTAAAAATGTGAACTTTATGCTGAGTGTCCTTTTAAAAGCTAGCAGCACAAAATATTTTTTGAACAGACCAGACATCTCTGTTGCATCCTGAGCAGTAGTAGTACATCACTTCGTTGTCCGTGATTTTTGGCTCCCAAGTTTTGCAAATGCTGATACATCAAGACTTTTACCACTGTTGCATTGTTCATATAAAGTCTGAAAGTTCATAAAAAAACACAGGTATTCAGGTGAACACAGTTGTATTGCATATGAATTCAAACTATATAACAAACATTACCACTTGAAATAAGTCATCACATACTGAAACACTCCAAACTACACATTAAAATTTCTCTCTCAAATCATAAAATAAAGGTACACATAAGATGGCATAGTTGTACCAGTTGTAATGTAACGTAGTGCCTAAAAAAACACACACCGTCTTTGCAGCATCAGCGAAGGTATAGAGCTTCATAAATTGGCAGAGAACAAACTAATTGCCAAGATTTAAAATCAAGTTTACTCCATTAATTCTCTATGATGTGGAAACACCAGCATGGAAGAGAGGTCTTTGCATACTCAGGGTGAGGAGCAAGCTTTAAATGAGATAGGAAAAATCACTGGCCACAAACATAGCCACATCACACCATTGTTAAAAAGGTAATCTCTTGTTCACCCTTGTGTTTAAAAAGAATCAGGTATGACTAGCAGTGTAAACGTAAATAAACTTATTTAGGATTTACTCTGTACATACTGAATTTGCTTTCCTCCCCATGAAAGCAGCTTTGCATTCCATCTCAACTTATTACATATTTGACCACCATCACCTCTTCTGAGAGACAGGTGGAAAAAACTGAGTTCGTGAAGAGTTACCAAGCTTCTCCTTCATCCAGTGAACCAAATACCTGAACATACAGGGACTAATTTACAAATAGTGAGGCATTAACAGTTCAGCAGCTTCCAGGAAGTAAGAACAGCTGCAGTCCAGAAGCTTGCACACTTGACAGATTGATTCAGATAAGTTCTCCGTAATGAGATGGTTCTTCAATTAGAAGACCTACTGCAGTTTTTGGGCAACTTAAAAGCAAACCAGCACAGTAAGAACTGATTTAGAGAGGAGATGCTGGGGCAGTGGGCGATTGGGAAACAAAACAATACAGATATACTGGGATGTGGAAAGAAAAAGCTAAAATCAAGATGACTATCATCCTTTCAACCCTTCCCATTTAGAAGGACGTGGAGAGATTCTGCACACTTGCAAGCAAAAGCATTACAATGTGTAACATTCTTCCAGCTGTGGTTAAAGCTGTGATAAATGTATCCTCCTGCTTTAATTACCAAACGCCCTCACCTCTGTTTGCATTAACATGTACTACCATGCAAGATAGAAAAGAAAATTTACTTACCCTTGCAGCTCTAGAAATAGAGTTGGGCGAATTCAAACCAACAAGCTGGCCAAGGATTCGTTTCATTTCCTCTGTTGTTCCTTTTGCATCGGGAACACCTGCAGTTCATTTATAATTATGTTAAAGTTGGATAAAACTATGTGTAAATTACCAGTGCAGTTAGTAAGAGGTGTATAAAAAGTGAGTTTTGAAATGAAGAGTTTAAGAAGTAAAATACAGAAGTCTTCTAAAACATACACAGACACCAAACAAAACAATGTTGTGCCAGCAAGTGGAACGTACATGTAAGAGTAAAGAATTTTGTTTTCTTAAACAGAATTATAAATACTATTTAATAAAAATGTATTTTAAAATAAATGTACCTGTTTGACAGTGACTTTGAATTTGAACATAGGGATGTATCAGCAACTCCGAAACAGATATTCTTTGTTTAGGATTTCTTACTAAACAGCGCTGCAAATGAAAAAAAAAGAGGAAGATGCTTTGCCTATAAAATAAGAATTTTCCTAAGAATTAACAGAAAGGATAATTAAAAGACCCTGTAGATGCATGTGAGAACTTACTGCCAAACTACATACTCGGAAAGACTCAATTCAAAATACAATAAGAGGAACCTAATTGCCTTCATTAGCATTTATCTTTAAAGTTTGCTATCTGGTTTTACTCAAGCAACAATGTCAGAAGAGGTGAAGACCAGAACCTACAATATCCTTTTATTCTGAATGACACAAAATGACACCGAGATTTCCGAGTTAAGGGGATGACTGTTCCTGAATTTCAGTTTGTTACCTGCTGAGCAACATAATTCGGGCTCGGATAAAAGCACAGGCCAAGTTTCAAAAGCAGGCAAACACGCAGGGTGAGGGAAAGGGATGGTGAGTAAGAATTAATCTTAAGGGACAGTTACCTTTAGCACATCTTGAAGATCTTTCTCAGCAATATCTGGAAATTCTATTTCATAACTGGGATCAACAATAGCATGCATTTTGTTAATTGGATTTGTTATATGTTGAAATGGAGTCCTTCTGTATGTCATACAGTACAAAATGCATCCCAATGACCACACATCACTTTTGGGGCTTATCTAATAAAAACAAAAACAACAAAAAAGATTATTCCTCCCCTACTGTCCCTTCAGTCAATTTATCATATAATTGTACAGTAATTTCACTTAACAGTATATCTATTTTACATTGGATAACAGATCTTAGTAACTATGGAGACAAAATCACCAAGACAGCGTGCCGTTACCTACTGAGACAGTGGTGTGGCTTTATTCAGTAATATTCCATAAGAAATCTATTTTTATTATCTTTGAAAATCAACTTACTTGAACAACTAACTTAAAATAGAATTCAAGGTAGTCCTTAACAAGTTGAACATCAGGATTCTAATTTTGGATTTATGAGTAAATACAAATAAAAGCATACTAAAATAATTCAATCCAGAACCCAGGGAGACATCACAGCTATGTCCCCCAAGAGGGAAGCCATCGTTCAGTTCCTCTGGTTTTAAAGGGTTCAGATCTAGATTTCAGCCACCACACCTGGGCTGTTCCTTATGGGAGGATTTTCCACTTCTGTTGAAGCTGAAGCACTTTAAGAAAAGCACTGAAGGCTGGAGGAATGGGGAAAGTGGGAAAAGGGGCACACAGAGAGAGAGCCTGACTCCCAGCACAATGGTTGGATTTTTGCTTTGATGAACTAAGCTCCAGAACAAGTCTGCACTTTGCATGCAATTTTTAAAAATGTAAAGGTAAAACTTGTAAAAAGTATCATCCTTAACAACATAAATCCACCTATAAAACATTCTGTTCTGTGCATAGAAAGACAAGATTGTGTTTCACTATCATCACAGTAATATCTCCATTCAACTGTTAAAAAGTCACAATCTTTGAGTATGTATGTGCATATCCATATGAATATGGATTTTTAATACCTTTCCACAAAGGTATGTGCACCTTAAGTGACGTTTGCCTACTCATGTGAAATTGCTTTCCTTCAATACTTTCCTCTTTATCCACATCATGTTGCCCCAGTGAAGTTAGAAAAAGTTCTACAATACACACCACTCTGTAGCATAGAAAAATTAACAGGATATACAAAACTCATCCATGTGTCCCCTAAAATGCTAGACTTCATTGTATCATCTTTTAAAATAACTTATTAGGTATCATTTCTTGCAAAACCTGCCTCTAACTTAAAATAATTCAAAAATATGACAATGGCACCAGCATCATATCTTGTTGTTTAGGCAACCATACTAACAATGGTTTATATCAGAAAGGAAATTTTTTTCCTTTCAGAAGAAAATTTCTAAGCCAGAGTTATTTGTGTAGAATGCTAAAATGTAGCTGTGTAGCAGCTAGCAGTACCATAAGAGCTCCACTAATTTTTGGAAGAATGAAGCTAAAACAAAAGGGCATAAACAGCACAATAGGCAATCAAGAAGTGACTGAGGAATGATTTTTTCACTTGACTCCATGGAAGAGCATCCCAGAAACACCCTCTGAAAGCTCTAGCCTGGAGTGCTTCAGTGTAAAGGACTTGTCAGAGATGCACAGCACAGCAGACCCTTAACATACTCAAAATACTTCTGTAACATTACACATCAGCACAGCCTCTGATATGTCAAAGGCTGCATGCATCTCGGTGTACTCGATATTGCTCTTCAAGGCCATTCACACTGGTAATATAGTGGAAGATTTTTATATTGCCCCATAAAAATGGATTTTAAAATATTTTAACATTTATTATCAGTTTAGATATTATGTTATTATCAGCTCCTCCAACACACAAGCCTGTGCATCTGTTTTGCTTTCAATTTTACTCATTAATTCAGCACTTACATTTTTTTAAACACCATCTGCAAAATGCTTTTGGGTAGTTGAGAGGAATAAACTTAACATACAATCTCTGCCCACCATCATCATGGCACAATGGGTTTCCTTGTGTTCTAGTTTTAGTGGAAGATTTTAGAAAACTAAGTCTTAAGATATATATATGAATTATTTTCCTCTTAATATGAAGGGAATAGGAGAAAAAAAAGATCATGTTACCTTAGATCGAGATTTCCCATTTTCTCCGTAGGAAGACATATCTTTTATTGCTTCAGGTGGCATATAATTCATTGTGCCAACCTAGCCATAAAAATGTAAAAATATTCCTTTAAGTGAAGCACATATTTAACTCACTTGATAAAAAGTTAGATTTTTGTCTCAAAGCACTAAAAAGCATATTGCAAGCTTATTTCTATTAAGGTTGAATGCCATTGTTATTCCATTCAATAAAAACATCTAAAATTAATATATATGAATATTTACATATAAAACCATTCAGCATAAAATCTCAGTATTCATTGAAGTTACTACAGTAATCAACACAATCAGCAAGTACTATAGCACTTTACAGAAAAGTGTACATCAATTTTCCAGAAGTATTTCACCTGGGAATCTTTAATGATGCTTGTCACATCTGGCTGCATTTGATTTGCAATGCCAAAGTCAATTAGCTTTAACATTCCATCAACTATCAGAAAGTTTGCTGGTTTCAGATCACTGTGAATAATTCCTGTAAAAGAGTTTAAAGTAAACCCAGGTTTAGCCAACGCAAGTTACTACTGAAATATTTTTTTCTATTGCTCAATTCCTGTAACTCTTGCACAGAGAGAAGATGCAGAGGAGAAGTTTAGACTATATATAAGGAAGAAATATTTTACGCTTAGGGTGGTAAACACTGGAATGGTTGCCCAGGTAGGTGCCCCATCCCTGGAAACATTCAAGGTCAGATTGGATGGGGCTCTGGGCAATCTGATCTAGTGGAAGATGTCCCTGGTCATTGCAGGGGGGTTGGACTAGATGAACTCCATGGTCCCCTCCCACTCAAACTATTCTATGATTCTACATCAGCTTTACCTGGCCAAAATGGAATTATTCTTTGTGTATTCCATAAAAGTGTTTCCTTTTCTTTTTAAAGAGTTACAACTTGCATGAGTTCATAGTTTGAATTCTTACTCATTCAAACCTGCAGGCACCCCAAAATAGCTCCAAGACGCTTGAGTTGCATCGTTTCTCTCCGTTAGGGCTAGGCCCTCAAGCCATATGTGCACACTGCCATACCGAACTGCTGTTTTGGACCATTTCAGTGGCCTGTCCACTCCTGTAGCTTCCTCTTAAATAACTACCTAAGCAGATACTTCAAATAAAAGAATTCTATTTCTTAGCCTCATGTTTTCTGCTCCCTAATCTCAAAAGTACCATCCCCTGAGGATGACATATGACTGACCTCTCACCAACACTGCTTACATGATTTATTATGATTTTTGGTTATTATCCATACAATCAATCAATCCATCTTTATATTTTGCAAAATTGTTTGTTTCAAGGACACATCAGTTAGTATGTAGCCTGTGTTTTAGTAGATTTTGCTGCCTTTCTGCATTATTGAATGTTCTAATGTTCTTGTGCTATCAAGCTGTGATGCTCTCTGCTATATGTACAGGTCTCTTCACTTTTTTTCTTAAATAAGAAAAGGATCCAAATCTGCTCTCTCCTTCACGTTATACAGCCAAACAGAACACAGATGCATACGCTTCAATTACACAGGTAAAGGTGAAGGGAAGGCCCGAAGAACTATGAGAAAAAGCTGAAACACTATGTCGAAGTAAAGATGATAGAACCGTGTAAAAGCTGTCATGAATGTCAAAGGTTCTTTGAAGAGGATACATGGCTGAAATTTGAATCTAATGGAGAACAAGGAGTATGCAACATAGTCCAATACAGAAAAGATTATTTTCTGGCTGTTGCAAGGAAATACACAGCATTATACAGCGGTGATACTTGGAGATCCCTTTGAGTTAGCAAAGTAAGTCTACCTCTGCATGAATATTTACTCATCTTTTGTCCCACGGTTTTTTTTTCACAATACAGTAAATACCCATCTTGGAAGACCACTAGGCTTGCACCAAAAACTAAGAGCAGTACCACCTCCAAAATTTAAACATATTCATATTATCTCTGCCATATAACCTATACAAATACCTAGAATTATTTAAGAGTACCGTATTCATGGATTGTGTGAACAGCTTCCAGCATATTTTTCCAATAGCTCTTTCGTTCCAATGGATCAATGTTTTTTTTCTTTTTGAGCCAGCTATTGAGATCAATATTTCCACACTCCATTACCATGTAGATATGATGATCAGTAATTTCACTAAAAATAAATAAATATACTTACGTTAAAATTTAAGGCAACTTCTTCATATCAAAAGATACTGGTTTAATAAAACTAGTGTTTACTTACTGGCCATAAAGGCGGATGATCTTATCACTATGTTGCTGCAGTTTACTCAAAAGAGCAATTTCATTCTTATAGCTCTCAACAGTCTGTTGATCAGCTTCCTCTAGATTCACATATTTGACAGCATACAGCTGCTTCTTTTCATTCAGTACTTGGAAAACCTGCAAAACAGTATTAGTTAATAACTTAATTCAATCCTAATTCTGATGTACTATGGTCCTTCATTTCACCACAGCCAGCATTTCAAAGAAAAACCTCACCTTCTCAAAAAGAAGCAGCAAAACTAAATTTACAAATAAGTTCACACAAGTGAGCATGAAGAAAAGCTAGGAAAGCAGCCACAAGTTACAACAGAAACAACCCTTCATCAGAAACCATCCCGGTACCACATTGTATTTCAGTAGATGTATTTGATCACAAGTCTGAACTGCTCCTAAGACAAAGAGTGCAAAATAATACCTCCCACAGATACAAGGGTTTGACCTGCCACTGAACATCCATTCTGTCACACCAAGATTATTTGAGGTTAGACCACATAGAACATGAGAAGAGGCTGAGAGCACTGTGTCTGTTCAGTCTTAGGATGAGAAGGCTACAGGGAATCTTAGTGCTGTCTTCAGTTTAGAGGGAAGGTATGAAAAAAATAGACTCCTCTTGAATCATCAAAGTATGAGGCAACAGGCGTAGCTAACAAGAAAAATTCCAATCAGATATCAGGAAACTTTTTTCATCATCACATAGTCAACCAGGGGAACAGGCTGTGAAATCTCCATCCTTGGTGATACTCAAAACTCAACTGAGACCATGAGCAACCTGCTCCATTTTGCCCTTGCTCTAAGCAGACCATCAGACCAAGTGACACACAGATGCCCCTTCCATCCTGCCTTGTTCTACTTGTATGCTGCAAACACAAGAAGCTTTTCTTCCTGGAGGTCTCTGCTGACTGGAAGCTAGCCAGTGTTATTCCAATTTACACAAACGGAACAAGGGAAGACCCAGGAAACTACCGACCTGTTAGTTTAACCTCAGTTCCTGGAAAAATTATACAGAAGATTATACTGTGTACTACTGAAAGGCATTTAAAGGACAACACAATCATCAGGCACAGTCAGCATGGGTTCCCAAAGGGAAAGTTCTGCTTAACCAGTTTGATATCCTTCCATAAGGTCACCCACCTAGTGGATGAAGGGAAGGCAGTGGATGTAGTTTTTCTGGATTTTAGTAAGGCTTTTGATACTGTCCCTCACAGCATCCTTCTGGACAAGTTGTCCGTCTGTGAGATAAGCAGGTTCACTGTGCGCTGGGTGAAGAACTGGCTGAGGGGCAGAGCTCAAAAGGATAAGATTAGAGATACTCTGTTTTAAAACTAGTTCTAACTAAGCTTTCTGGCCAATTTTTGGCAAGTCAAAAGAATACTTTAAAGAAGTTTCAAATAGAAATGCTATCATTTAAGTATCCAGTTTATATTTCACTGCATACCTCAGATTAACTAGAAGTAACCTTTTCACTTGCCATGTGCTGCAGACTTTAAGTACTACATAGGCTGTTACTAAGGATTAACCAATGTGTGTGTGTACCAGACTTCCCTTACACAAATTCCTAGGGTGTCCCTGTGACTAGTAATAGTCTTCACAGACAGAAGCAGAGGTAAAGCAGAAGTGTAGGAGACAGAAGAAAGCAGACAGAAAATAAATCCAACTTAAACAAAGCAAACCTGCTTATGGTTGGTCTTCTGAACAAGAGATTTTGCCGAAACTGCTTCTCAAGCTCTCATGACCCCAATTTTCCTTATAAAAAGCAGCTCACTCACCATTGCAGTCATATTTACACTCACAAGTTACAGAAGACTTCAATAACAAGGGATGGTCTGTCCATTTCAGGAAATTTCAATCAACCTTACAAGCTACGCATTTCCCAACAATGTAATCACATTGCCCTAAACAATAGCCTCTCAAATTAAGATGGACAGTAATACTGCAGCACATCTCTTCTAACAGAAGAGCTGATTTTATTAGGAATTTTAATACTCACCCCACCATAGAAATTGTTATCTTAATGCAGAAACCAAACAGAAGTAGACTCCCACCATTGTTTACTGATTTAAGTGATATCTTTAGATGCTCATGACAGTTGGGTGATCACTTTTTCTTATTTCTATAAATTTCGTTCAGTGTTCTGACTGCATCTGTTCAGAATTTCTGTTCACTGTTTATTCTTTACTTCAATACCCCTCCCTTTATCTACCCACTGTTTTTACTTTATTCCTTCACTTTATTTTGTCCATGAAGATTACAGTGCTTAACATCCTGTAGTAACTGAAGCATCATTTTCATAATAAGTTATTAATTCTGTGATCATCGCTGGCTATCTGAAGATCAGACAAAACAGCATTGCGCAAATGTAATCTGTACCCTATGTTTCTTCTGCATCTGTGGGGGATAAAGTCTAAGCATAGCATTAAACCCACAAATTTCTAGATTCTCTGGGTCATGCAGACACTTTGTATATGTTAGCACTAGGCAATCCTTATTAGATGACTTCAACACGTACGTTTACAATGCAGCTACTACGGTGTAAATGAGTGACTGTCTGAAAGGACAAAAGAGCATCTTACCTTACTTGAGCCTCCACTACCTATTTGTTTTAATATTGTATACACTTTTCCTTTGATGGCAAGACATTCATGTGAAGGTATAGAAGCTGGAACCTGTGTACATACAGAAAAAGTTCAGAAAATGATTACTGGTATACATGCAGCAGAATGTGGTAGAGCTCTATTTTTTATTAAGTTAATATGATTTAAGTTGTCTTGGTCTTTATGAACAAGATAAATATGTATATCAAAAAATAGATATGGTAAAGCTAAACATTAAATGGATTTGTCTTGAAAGCTAAACATCCCCAGAGCAAAAGTATTTGTATAATGATATCACACTTGGCAGGTAACTCTTAGAAAAGACACCAATGCTCTTCACATCAGAAATCAAGAACAGGGTGTTCTTTAATAAGGCTCCTCAGATCATTAGAGACATCTCCGCCTTTACAGACAATGTTGGAAACTAGACTATCTAAGAGAGTTTCAGCCACAGCATCCAACTAACTTAGAGCTGTACTCAAATCACTACTATTTTATTTGAACTAACTACTAGCTAGCAGACTTCAGTGCTGTGAAGCTGAAAAAGCCTGTATTGCCTGTACCTGGTACACCAAGCTGTAGAACAGCCACAAATTTTAAATATTAATCCTCTGGCAGGAAGCTGAAACCTCTCTCCCAATTCTATCTACCGTTGGGAAGATTCCTACCTGAATGTGCAATCCATGTAAGGTAATCCATTTTTACATTACTTCAGGCCACCACAAATACATCAAAATTAGTGAAATCTAACAAAATGGAGAAGGAATGTAATTCATTCTTTTACCTCCCTCAGACTCTTTAGTTTCTCACACTGCTTCTCTTGTTGTAGTACTACCCACTAGTGAGTAGTAGCACTACAAAAGTACAGCAGAACAAAAATAGTGACTCTAGTTCTTGCCTCTGTCCTGAAGTAGGATCTGAAGAGGCTTAGATTTCAGACATAAAGGCTTCAGAATTTTGACACAACTGAACTGATTTTTCAAAACCTGACTTATTTTACCTAAATTCAGACATACATATAAAGAAACAGTTATTTTGAAAATAAGCAACACAGACTACTTTCCATTACTCCATTCACTACATTAAAAAAAAAATATACATACATGCATATATTTAACCTAAAGTAGTCTTCAATTAAAATATGTACTGAAAAATGGCAGAAGACAGCCTAAAATTGTTACCTGCAAGCCAACTTGATTTTGAAATGGAGTTGCTGGAGTATGTGGTAGGAAAAATGGGAGCTGGTTGTAGGGAGTAGAAATTTGATATCCTGGTAGAAAGTTGTTCTTTACAACTGGTGTTCTGAAACTAAAAGAAATTATGGACAATATCTACATGTAGTTTGGGGGTTTTTTTTAAGATTATTCTAACAATGTTGAAATCTTCACTGCTTCTTGAAAGTTAAACCCTATCGACTTAGCAAAAAGCCCAAGCCTCTGCTACATTCAATAATTAGCATTATGATAATTCCAACTTCTTTTAGAAGTCCTTTAGAAGTACACTTAAGCTATAACATACTTAGGAAATATTGCTTAAAACAGAAACTAATTAAATCCCGATCTCCATATACTAGCTGGCACTCCCCACAAACTGGAAAATGAAAGCACCACATAACAAAAGCACTCGACAATTCCGCATATGTACTATGTGCTGTACATTCCGTGTATAATGAGAGTTTAATTTTTCTAAATTTCCATATTATCAAAGCTTAAAAGAAGCAAGAATGGAATCTATCCAAGGACCACTTTTATCAAGTTCCACCATGAGATGCTGTGCTTCATTCGCTACATACATTCTAAACGCTACAGCTAGAGAGGTCCTACCAACATGAACAATGCTTACTCATCATACAGCCTTGACCTATATGATTCATCCTAAAGACTTGTGAAAAAAGTAATAATTAATTAGAAAGATTTATCAACATATGCACAGGGGTTTACGCCTAATTTAAGATTGCATGGATAAACAAATGCTAGCATTTCCTAACACGAGTGCTCAATTCTGCAAGCCTCTAGTTTCCTTACACTTTTTTTTTAAACCCACAGACACTTGCATCATGGGAATCAGACTGATATACAGTTATCAATCTAATAAGCCTCTCAGACACAAAAAAAACAGGCATCCAAAAGAAAGTGTTGTAGTGTTGTGTAGCAGGTACCAGAGAAAGAGGTAAATGCTGTAGTAAGTACTCATTGATTTGATGGTGTACTTCCAAATGGTGAAAAGCTGTCAGGGAAGACAAAGCTGCCTAAATGCAATCTGAATCTTCAAGTCAGGCACTTGACAAAGTACTGGAAGCACTCAATTCTTGTTTGCCATCTGAACAGAAAAGCTTAAGAAACCCTGTTAAAAACTGCTGAAGTCCTTCCAGAGATTGACTTCTGTTCACAAGTGTGCAGCTCAAAGAAGCGGCTTACCAGTCCATACAGTCATTATACGTGGTGCTTGGTGTTCCACAAACACGTGATGGGTCACTTTTCTTAGAAACAGCATCTGGTGGTGATAAACCTCTTGAGACGGGATGACCAGATTGTTCAAAGCTTGATTGCTTTCCCTAAAAAAGGCAAAGCAAGATATTATTCCACACAATCAGCCACCATTAAGAACACAGAAATCACTTTTTCAACATGTGAAAGCTGCTGCAGCTAGAAAACCATTACATATTCCTGTTACTTTACCTCTCTATAGCAGCTTTTCTGTGTTACTTCTTGAACTGGCCCTTTTTTTCTGTTTAATTTAACCTGTTCCAACTGCTTTCTATAGCTTTCACTAGAACTAGATTGTTGCTGTTGGCTCTCCAGATTCTTTGGCTCTGGTATCTTCAGCTTCTGATGCTGGACTTTCTCTGGAAAAGATCAGATTATTACAACAACTTGATATTTAGTACTTGAAACAGTTTCTGGCAGATTTACTCCACAGTTTCTAGGACAATTTTAACTCATTTTCTATATCAGAATAAATGAACACATCTGAATGCTGGAATCAGGCATTAAAAGGCATTAATGTAATCTTCAGCATCTGTTTTCAGTTTGGTGCAGTAACATGGAAACTTTCTTCAAAATCTTAGGATTCTACTGTAACAGTAACAGCGATACAACTGTTTCCTTCACCAACATGCAGAAGATCACATTCATCATTTGTACAACATGCTGAGACACTGAGCAGGTTGATAAAGCACTTAAGATAAGCTTATTGCAATACTTCCAATTAGAAGTGTGTTGTCTGTAACAATAGGCAATCTATAATCCAGGGTAATGACTGAAGCCAGAGGCAAAAAGGGACAAGGCATGCTTCATCTTGCATGTTCCTTTTACAGAATAACAGGACATGGAATTGGTGGAGGACTGCAGGACAGGCTGCAAATAGCACAGCCCAGGAGTGTTCCTTTATGTGCTCCTTCAGTTTTCTTTTCAAATGACTAGAAAGCAGTATTCCACATTAAGCAAAAGTTAAGTTCAATTCAGCTACCGAAGGACTGAGCTACTACAACCAGCACGCTGACTGCAAGGTGGAATGAAGCACAAAGAGGGGAAAGCATGACCTGAAACCTAAACTGTTCCCAAAGCAAAACAATGGGAAAGGTTTTGCTAGGGAGTTTTCTGATATACACAAAAAATGTCCATTTCTAAAATAAGTTAAAAATAATTCCTCAAGAGTATGTTAATAATCCAATAAGAACCTCAGCAATTCAAACAATAGCAAAACTTAGATTTTCTTGAAAAATAATAAATTTTCTAGAAATTAGACAGAAACGTCATCATATCATACATTTACAGATAATCAAGGAACACAAGTACAGTACGGTTCAGGCTGAAACACCATGTTTAAAGCAAGAGGATTTCATAGAATCATAGAATAGTTTTGGTTGG